GCGATAACAGTCTCAGCAACAGTCTCTACACAACAACCGGAAAATGTTGTAAGTTACTTAAACGTCATAGCCTTCACGAAGGCATTAGATGAATGTTGGGTTTCTACATTCCCTGAAACAGTTTGATGGTAAGTACCTATTAGTCGTGAGCACTTGAGGTTGGAGCTGAGAACCAGGTTCTTCACAAAGCGGATGGAACCTTTGCTGAACAGATTCCCGGAAAATGTCGTAAGCGCCTCAACTGTTGCAGCCTTCAAAAAGGCCTTTGATCTGTGTACGTCAACCAATTCGCACTTGAGTGACGCGTAGCCGAACAGATACGAATCCCGAAGTAAAAACACAATTGATCCGCAATGTTCTACGGTACTGAATTAACAAAATCATTACAAATATACAATAAAGCAAACCGCAAATATGCGGCCGAGAGCACTCAAACAAGCGAGCCAAATAAGATGTCCAGAGAGAGGCAAACAGTCGCTCCCGTTCTCAAACCACGCAAAGATATTTTCAAATTCGAATTGCAGAACAAAGATGATGCATGGAGAGTGCGGTTGTTGCTATGGAAACTTGGTACTACTGAACACACGCTACACCAATTTCGTCTTGCCGAAAAATGCCCGCGATTTTACCTTCGATGAAACTGTTCAGCAATTGACTGAAATTTTCGGTGAGCGTTTGTCTTTATTTAATATTCGCTACCATTGCACGAAACTCGTTAAACAAGAAGACGAGGATTTTACCACTTATGCCGGTAGAGTCAATGTTGAATGCGAACAATTCAAGTTATCTACCATGACAGAAGATCAATTCAAATGCCTAATTTTCATCTGTAGTCTGCAGTCCCATTCCGACAGTGATTATAGAACCTCAATATTAAACAAGATTGAGCGGTATATAACGATATAACGTTGCAGGAGGTTATTCGCGAGTGCCAACGTCCTCTCAATCTCAAACACGACACAAACTTGTTGGAGCACCCATTATCCAACAATGCTTTCAATGTCTTACAAACATCTTCCAAACAATCTGACACAGCAACTGGTCCTGCCAGGACAAAGCTTCCATCAACTTGCTGGCAATGTGGTGAGTGGCACTTTGTCCTTACAAGAAACACAAAGGTGCACTGTGTACTCGTCGTGGTCATAAAGAGACACAATGCCGAACCAAAAGGCACAACAGACCTGTCAGTCGCTACAACAGATCAAGCAGCCGATCACGAAAATCTCAACCCAAATTCAACGCTGTTCTTGCCGCAATCAAACCAAACTTCCAGCTCCGCCGGAAGTACGTGACTGCCAAAACAAACGGAAAAACATTTCGTTTGCAACTCGATACGGCCTCCGATATTACACTGGTGTCTAAGCGTACTTGGAAGAAAATTGGCTGCCCAAGGTACACACCAACAACCAACACGGCCAGAAACGCTTCAGAAGGTAAAATCAACTTACTTGGTGAATTCGAGTGGGAGATGGAAATAACAGGCAAACGAAGTCGCGGATCAATCTTTTTCGTCGATCGTGAATTGGATTTGCTTGGTATCGATCGGATCGATCGCCTGCAGCTTACACGTATGACAATCGATGAGCTATGTTCATCCACACCAAACCAAGTTAAAAAAGTGGACAAATCAGAGGAAGCAGACACGAACACGATCTTGTCCCTCCAAAACAAGTACGCTGCGGTCTTTACCGAAGGCTTGGGCTGCTGCGCGTAAGCAAAGATAGTCCTTCA